GGGCCCCTCCACGCCGGAGAGCCCCCCGCCCCAGCCGTGCGTCTGGTTTTTATTGTGAGGGAGCGGCCATTGGGGGACCGGGGCTGGGCTGCCGACACGGCCGTGTTGATGAAGCTGCCGTTGCTCAGGGCGGGCACTGGGATAGTGGAGGCTGGGCCCGGGCTGTCCGGACTGCAGTCCATCAGCTCACCGGCAGGGGAACCGGGGGGTTCTGGGCTGGCACGGTCCAGGGTCTGGAGGGGGCTGCGGGGTGGCTGCCCTCGGCAAGGCAGCTCTGGGGAGGCCGGCAGCGAGTGGCACCTCCGCAGGATGGCGATGGGTTCAGCAAAGCTGCACTGCATCTCCACGGCCGGCTCTGGCGTAATCGGGGTGCCAGGCGGAAGAGGCGAGGGGGGCGGAAGGTTGAAGGTCAGGGAGATCAAGGACTTGCTGGGCGTGTCGAAGAGCTTGATCCTGCCCCCCTTGAGGTCCTGGCGCTGGGAGAAGGGATTGACTCGTTGTGGAGTGTCCTGGGCACGAGGCAAGGCGGGTGACCGAGGGGGAAACACGTCCGACTGGCTGCGGGAGAGGTGCTGCTCCGGGGTCAAGAGCTGTTGGCCGGGCAGGGCGTTGGGGAAGGGGAGCTGCTTGGCCGCTTGACCTGGATGTAAAAGCAAAGAGGCACGTGTCGGAGGAAGCCCGGAGTTGCACCCTGGGGCACCCTGCGTGCTGTGGAAGCTGAATCTAGTCCGGGGAACAGCTACCAGCTTGGCTGTGCTGCGTTCCAAAGGGCTGGGGGCACCAGCACACATGGAAAATTGTGCACATTCCTGCCCTCCCGTGCTCAGGGGCAGGCGGCCAGGAGAAAAGCCTGCATCTGCCCCCAACCCAGGACCAGCGTGGGGCGCAGGGAGATCCGGTGCCCATCAGCTTTCTGTAAAGGGGGTCACCACCATCGCCCCCTTCCGGCATCCAAGGCAATCCATGCAATCTCAACTCAAAAAAAAAAACCAAAACAAAACCACCAGCCACGCAACCGATGCTTTTAAAGGGTGGCAACAATCCCCAGATCGTGCCCCATCCCCACCCCTGCACTGGAACCTCTGCCTTGGGTTGGGCTACCGTTGTTCAGCGTGGCCGCCGGGTTCGCAGGGACGCTGGTCCCATCGTTCAGCAGGGGTGGGCCGGGGTCTCCCGCGGTCAGCATCGCCTCCAGGCGCTGGGCGATCTCCAGGAAGGAGGGCCGGGCCGTGGGCTCCATCTGGAGGGCAGGAGAAGGAAAGCGCACGTGGCGGCTCGTCTCTTTTGCATCCCGCAGGGAGCTGCAGGCCGCTTTATGCACGACGGCCCAGTGCGCGTCTGGGACCGGCCCGCCAGCTGGTCTCAGTCGCGCCGGACTTTCTTATTTGGTGTGGCCTTAGTATTCTGCCTTTGGTCGTGGAGCAGAGCAGGCCTCCCCCCACCTAGTATCCTCAGGAAACCCCCTCCAGGCAGGCCGTGTGACGCCGAAGAATTCCCTGCAAACTTCGCACCGCCCAAGGGGGCAATGCCCACAGCTCCGCCGCCTGCGCCCTTGCGAGAACCAGTCATTCCCGCTCCCACAGCGGAACCAGCAGGTTTGCAGGGGGGCCTCCCTGGGACGCATCCTCCAGGGCTCCTCTCCTATCCCGGCTCCAGCAGCACCCCACCTTCCTGGAGGGCAGCTCTGAGGGCGGGGAGGGAGCACCAGCACCCACCTTGCAGCAGTGGAAGGCCAGATGGAGAAAAGCTGCCGGACAGTCGGCTCCCACCAGGTCGCAGAACGCAGCCACGTCGAGCCCGAAGTCCTGCGGAGGGACAGGGTGAAGGGACGGAGGGGGCTGGGAAAGATGCCCCCCCCGTTCCGACTTTCCCTTGAGGCGCGCCACGGAGTCGCTCTGCTTGGGAAGCCTTTCCTGCTCCAGCCGCCCTTCCCGCCCCCCGTGGCTCCTGGCGCCAGGCTTGCGGGCGTCTCGCCTTCTGAGTAAGCCCAGGAGCAGGCAGGCACGGCCATCCCAGTCCCAGCACCGATGGAGCGAGAGCCTGTCTCCGGGGAGGTGCAGGAGAAGGTCCTTTGCCCCAGGCAGGGGCCTGAGAGCTGGCCAGACCCTCCCAAGGGCCCCTCAGGGTTTGCTTCCTGCGGCTCCCTCTGCTTTTGTGATTCCTTTGCTTTCACAGATCAATGCTGGATTTTAAATGCATTTAAAAGAAATACATTCAACCCTCAGATTAACAGACTAGCCGGGGGAACAACGTCCATCAAGGCAGAATTTCCATTAAATCCCAAAGGGGTTCTACAGAGTTTGTGCATATGACACGTGTGTAAAATGGCAGGTGGACATGTTGCGCGGACAGCGGCACCCGAAGTCCACTAAGCTGTGGTCCGTTCAACCGAGGGCATCCTGGAGCTCTAAACTGTCTTGAGAGTATTTTGAATATAGCGGATAGTTTTCCAAATAAATAAAAAGAGGGTCTGGCTTCTCTGCTCCAGCTCTAGCCACCCTCTTCCCATGCTGGAGCCTCAGGATCGTGGCCTGGCAGGCTGATTCCTACCACACATCAGGCTAGATAAACTGGGGTTGGGAAGTCTGTGGGAGAAACCAGGCAATTGTGGCTTGTTAGCCCAGGGTTGGGCTTTAACAGATTGTGGGAACCCAGCCCTGCTGGGGGAAGCGCCAGCTCTCCTGTTCCTTCTTCGGCTAAGAAAAGCGGGGGGGGGGGCCCCGACGGTGGATGCCACGGGGCCAGGCAGAAACTCTGCCCTGGGGAAGCCATGTGCCCCTGTCCAGATCAGGGGCTGGTGGAAGGCGGCCACCTGCCCCAGCTCAGCCCAGGGTGGGCCACAGCAGCCTCGGGGGGTGGGCAGCAGCAAGAGAGCTCCGTTCCAGCCGTCGTTTGCTGAGCCAGTGGCAGCCCCGAGACTGGGCAGCAGAAGCCCGAGGCACCTGAGCATGGACGGAGTCTGCACCAGGCGCGGGGGGGGGCTCCACTCACATTCCTGCTCCAGGCCTACGGCAGCCCTTCCCAACCTCTGTGGGGAGCACAGCGCAGGAAGCCCAGCCAGGGGGGCCCCCAACGACAAGGCTGGCTGGCTGCCGCCCTTCCAGCTGAACGGGGTAGGTCAGGCTGCGGAAGGGAGGTTCATGCTGCAATAGGCTGGCAGCACCAGGCACTTGCTTGAGCCGCCAAAGTGAAGGAAGCTCGCCCAGCAAGGACCAGCCCTGCCCTGGCCTGCCTCCCGCCCCAGAACCCGGCCCTGAAGGCAGAGGCTCCTCCGCCGGGTGTGCCAGGAGGCAGCAGCCATAACGGGTGCCTGGGGCCCAGAGGCCTCCAGGATACAACCTGGCATGCAAGCAAGCAGCTGATGCAGGAAAAGGCCTCCGAGAAGCAGCCGGGCAGGGGAGGGACCAGCTCCTCCAGAGGGAAGAAGGCCTCGTCCATTTGAGGGCAGCCAGCGGTTCTTAGGGGCTTTTAAAGGGGACCATTTTAGGATCACGGCCAGGTTTTAGCAATTGTTCCATGTCATTTAGCACTCTGAGAGGCAAAGAATAAATCGACTGCAAGAGATGTAACCACCATGCAGGCAAGTGACACATTTAAGCCTCCTGCAGCCTCCAGAATCCCCAGTCAAGCTAAATGCCGGGACCTACGACCCCACCTCATGGATGGGGGGGGGTTTGCCCACCGCCCTGTGGCCAAGCAATCTGGCCCTGACACACGCACGGGGTTCACACGGTGTGTAAACCTGCTGGTTCGATTAACCCACACAATCCACTGATCCATAAGCTAACCAGACATGCTGGGTTCATGTGACATCTAAGTCACAAGGGCACATTGTGTAAATGCCACTGGGAGCTCTGTAACCGGCCTGGTTTAGCTCTGGTGCAAAGCTGGCCGGCCTGTAAAACTGACGATGCTCCCTGGTCCTTGGGGACTGCTGACACCAACCGTCAGTGGAGCCAAACGGAGCTGGGCTGAGCGCGGGCGCAAGGCTCCTCACGGCTGCATTAGTTCACCCTCCCACCCCTTCAACTCTGATCGCTTGCCAAGGAATCACAGACCTTTCACAAACTGACTGAGCCCCTTGGAGAGCTAGGGAGGGGCTCTCACAGCTGGGGGGAAAAGCACCCCCCCTCCTTGCACTCCAGCCCTCTGCTGAGCTCCTCCTCCCAGGAGGAAGGAGGACTCTGCTGCAGGACGGGCTCCTCCTCTGCCCACCTGCCTCATCAGCCAGCCTGGCCATGGGAGCTTCATCTGCCCGTTTTGTACCACTCACTTTTCAGCTTTCCCGTGCAACTGGCTGGGAGCAGACCCAGCCCCAAGGGGCCCCTGGTCCTCCCCTGAGGTCTTGCCTCTTGCCAGGGTTGGCAGAGCCGGGGCTGCAGACGGGCGCGAGTGGGGGGAGCTTACCTCAGTGCGAGGCAGGTAGTCGGGGTCGGCCGGCACACGGGCAATCGTCTCGCACAAGATGATGCCATAGGCAAAGACGTCCGCCTGGAGGAGAGAGCGGTGAGGAGGTCTCGGAGGGCTGGGGGGGCAGAGGGGAGCCCTGGAGCTGGGGTGCCAGGCAGAACTGGGCCACGCACCCTCGTCCTCCTCCCGCTGACACCGAGCATTGGGCTTGCCCTCGGCCCCTCTCCCCAGGCCTTACCTTCTCGTTGTACAGCTCCCCACGCAGAACCTCGGGGGCCATCCAGTAGGGAGAGCCCACCACAGCCAGGGGCTCTTTCTCGCTGCCCTCGCTGGAAGGAGGAGAGGCTGGGGTGAATGCGAGCAGGGCTGGTGGGGGCGGGGGGCAGAAGGAGCAGCAGCCTCACTCACCTGTAGGTGGGAATCTTCTCCGCCAGGCCAAAGTCGCCCACGACTGCCGTGTAGCCGTTATCCTCACACCTGACCAGGCAGTTCTTGTGGGGTGAGAGAGGGAAGACTGAGGCCGCTCAAGGTAAAAGGCAGTTCGCAGGACGGAGCGTCTCTGCCCAGCTCCCCCCAAGGGAATAGGGAGCGGTCTTGGGGGTGGGTCACAGCAAAGGCTCCCCTAGCCCTGCAGGGGGGCCCCTTCCCCACGGCCCCAGGCAGGGCCAAGAAACTCTGCTACGCATTCTCTGACCCCTGGAAAGGCAGATCCGAGCTGGCAGCCAACGCAGTGGGGTTCCCTGCGTTAGGGCGCTGCGGAAGCCCTCACCCAAGTCCGCTCCAGAGACTCTGAGCAGGCAGTTTTAATCCAAAGCAGCCTGCGCTGGTTTTTAAGTGAGCCCTGCAGCCAGCTGTGTGAACTCCTCATCCTGGGCCATCTTGCAGCTGATCCTCTGCACAGATGCGCCTCCTCCCAGCTGCAGTAAAGCTCTTTCCTACTTTGCTGACTCCTTCAAGGAGGGGCTGTTAGTGCAGGGGGGATGCCTGGCAGGGCCTCAGAGCTGGAGCCAAAGTCAAGCAGCCCTGAAAGGGCCCAGATGCCAGGGCCAACCAGCCATCCCCACCCCAGGCTGATCGCTCCCTGGCAACCAGCGATGCCTCCGAACGAGAAAAAAACCCACAGGGAGGGAACCCTCTTTGGCCTCCAGCCCCCCACCCCCGCTGCAAGGAAACCAAATGCGTGCAAGAGGCGTGGGGAGGGGTCTGCTGCCAGCCTGGCGTGGATTCCTCTCACGCACAGCCCCGGCAGACACCTTGATTGAGCTGTGGCCATCTTGGCAGCGCTCTCGCTTGTCTCTTCCTCGGGACCCCGTGGTGGGAGCTGCTCTTTCTTTCTGCAGCCCGTCCTTCCAGGGAGGCCCTTCAAAGCCCGCCTTGTCCCCGGTCAGCACCACTCCTGCTGTTAAGCTGCCTCACCACTCGCCCTGGATCAAGTTGGGAATTCCCCAGCTGGCATCCTCTGCCCACTTTGAGGCACGGGCAGAGGGGAACGCAGCAGAGCCTCTCCCCCTACCTTGGAAGTCAGGTCACGGTGGAAGATGCCCTTGCTGTGGAGGTAGCACAGCCCACGGGCAATGTCCAGGGCCAGCTTGATGCGGACGGGCCAGGGGAGGGGGGCGGGGCTGTCGAGCAGCTGCTCCAGGTTTCCCCCATTAATGTACTGTGGGAGAGACAGACAAACAGGTTGCGGGGCCCTCTGCCCTCCAGAAGAGCCGGGCCCTCAGCCCTCCCTCAATGCCCCCAGCCCCACAACAGGCACGTGACTCCCACCTCTGTCAGCGCGTGCAGCTGGCCCTGGTGAACGCAGACCCCCATGAACCTGGGCAGAGAGAGAGAAGCAGATCAGGAGTGAGACCACTCCTCACAGTCCCTCAGGCCTCCTGGGAGCTTCCCTCGGTCACCACCAACCCTGGAGAAAAAGGAGCAGGACCAAGTCCCTGCTCTGCCATGGACCCCGGGCGCGATGCTGACCCCTCCCCAGCCTGCCAGAGGAAAGAGGGTGCTCCGTGCACAAGGAACCAAAGCACTGTGGGCGGCGATTCCAAAGAGGATGGCTTCCCCTCCCCATTCTGGGTGGGACCAGGGGACCCCCAGCAGGAAGGGGCCGGGACGATGTGGTTGACCCTTCCAGCCCTTCTTCCACCAGACCCTTTGAATATTTATGCCTAGCCCTTCCCAAAAGGGACCGAGATTCACGCCCGCCAGCCTAGCATCTCCCCTTGCTGCAGGATCGTTCTGTAAGAGTCCTGCTCCCACCGCCATGTTCCCAGATAGGCTCAACCTTCCCTCACAGCTGCCTCCTCTCTTCCCGGGCAGGGGACCACCAGAGCCTGCCATGCCCCCTCTTACCGGAGGATGTTGGGGTGGGAGAGCCGGTTCATCAGCTGCACCTCGCGCAGCATGTTCCCACGGTTGCTGGTCAGCTTATTCATCTTCAGCACCAGGACCTGCCCCGACTGACGATGCCTCACCTGTAGGGACAGCCGGCCATTAACTCCAGCAGGGGTACCCCGGGTGTCACGCCAGTCCCACAGCTGGAGCAGAGGGGAAGCCCTGAGCCCTGCCTGGCTGGCATCCCATGGAACCGGCCCCAACACCCTGTGGCCATCGTGGCTCCTAAGTCAGTCCCAAAAGGCCCTGGGCAGCGTTGCTCTTCCAGCTGCCAGACACGCTGAACCTAACACCTCAAATGCCCCCCCAATCTGACCATAGGCTGGGAATCATAGGAACAGAAGCCCAACGCACCGAGGGAGTAGCGAGTGCCGGCTTCTGAATCAGCCAGAGCTACCAAAACAGCCAGACAGACACAGAGACCCAAAGCTTTGGAACTACTTGAGAGCATGGTGTCAATTCCCCCCCGCCCCATTCATCCACAGCCACCCGCCAAGTGCCTCTAA